TGGGACTTGTTTTTTAGAATTAGGTTATATCTAGGGACCTATTTGAAATTTTCTTAATTTTAACTTTATTTCAATTTTAACTATGGGCCAAATTTGTTATTATTGAAAGTTCATAATAAATTATTTTTTTATTTATATTGTTATGCATATATGTTACATAATAAATAATGTATTAAATAGTTAGTATAAAATATTAAAATAATATATAATAATAAATAAATTATGTAATAAAAAATAATAAATAAAATATATTTTTATTATTTAGGTTAATTCAATGTACAATTATATATAATGTTCAAATACAAACAATTTTTTTGAGAATGTATAAATTAGCGTACTTTATGTAGCGAAAAGTTGCACTTTACTGAATAAATTGTTGCACTTTATAAAACAACACGTTGAACTTTGTCACCACATTGCACAATTCATGTCAACAGCTCTCGCCAAAAAATATTATGCAATATAAATCTAATAAACGGATCGACATAAATAATTTAATATATCCATCATATCACTTGTCCAAAAAAAAAAAAAATACACGTATGCTAAGTTGGTAATATATAAAAATTTTAGTATTGAATTTTATATATATCAGTACGTTGCACTTTATACAACAATCCGTTGCACTTTTTATCATATCATATTGCACCTTATAAAACTGCACGATGTCATACAAAAAAATACAATAATTATGATAATGGAACAAATAATATTGGTTGTTAAATGTCGGATTTAGTTTTTTAAAATATACATAATAGCCGGACATGTCAAACTATATGATATGAAAAAAATAACACTATTTTTTATCTGTATTGATTATGTGTTGCGGTCGCAGATTATGACTATGCGTATTGCACATAATTGGCTATAGGATTGCACAAAATCCAGCGAGATCCAGCCAACAGAAAATAAATAAAAAATATTAAAATATTAATTAAGATTTGTTAATTACAAATTGTACAATGACCTAATTGAAATATACTAAAAATACTGAAATCGAACGAACTAAATTTGTTTGTTCAAACTTTATCAACAAGAAAACACAAACATGCTAATGTATCAAATTTTCAATACTGCACAGTTATATCAACATGCTGCACTTTATATATACGTTGCACTTTATAAAATAACATGTTGCACTTTATCAACGACATGCTGCACGAAAAAGCAGCTCTCTTGCCCGAAGGAAAAAGCCCTACCCCCAAATCTCCCGCAGCCCTTAAATTTCCCGTTGAATCGCCTTCCTCGGTGTCGGAGAAGCACGGCTAGGGGTCGTATTTAACCGGCCGGCCCTCCTATGACGTTGCGCGCGCCTGTTCTACTGTAGATGGTCGGCTATCGGAGGTGGTCCGAGGTTCGGCGAGGATTCTGGATGGGGGATGGAGCCTCTCAAGGTCAGAGTTTTGGCCGGCGACTGGTGTCGTCGTCTTCTCCGTCAGTGGTGGAGTTCCGATTGGTGTTGGTAAGTCTCCCCTCTTTTCCCTTGTCCACTTTTGTTGGAGAGCGTATACCCTTTCTTTGATTCTAGAAAGGGAGTTCAATTCCGGCAGAGTTCCACCTTTCAGGTGGGGCCTGGTCCTCTTCTCGTCGGCAGTTCGTGGTGGAGACAGTGGTGCGTGCGTCATTGGGTGTGGCGGAACTCTGATTGCTGAGGCTTCTCGGGTCGTGGCTGATGGAGTTGAGAGATCGAGCCACCCTATACCGCCATCGTTCCGGCTAGTGGTGTTAGGCGGCGGGGGACGGGGTTCTACCGAGCTCGGCTAGTGGTGTTAGCTGAGTTCGGGCAGAGCTGGTGTGGGGGTTGTTTGTTTCTCTCTCGGTTGAGGATGGGTCAATTAGGGGAGTGGTTCTTGGCTCGGTTTTGGCTATTGTATAGGCGAGTGTGCAGTTTCGGTAGTTGAATCTTGGGTTAGAATCTCTCTTGTGTTGACCGTTCACTGTTGGTCGGA